GGGGGTAAAAGGGATATCATGTGCAATAGGGGAGGGTGGCGGGTAAAGAAAGGAAGGGGAAAGGGGAGAGGAAAGAGAGAGAGGGAGATGGAAAAGAGGTGGTTGGGATGGCTGCAGGGTGAGGGGGTCAAGCAAAATGACAATGGCCACCACATCTCAGGTTTTGTTTGAAAAGACGCGATATATATTTATGGTGAGGTGAACAGTCAGACAGAGAGTAAACAAAAATTTAGTTTCAGTAAAGAAAACAACGTTAGAGGATTTTTATCAAATTGTGCACAAAAAAAAGTAGTTTTTGCTCTCCACAGGAGAAAATCTGGCCATCCTCAAATACTGTATCAGATCATGTCAAACTGGAATTTGAAGAAACTTTTTGCAGTGTGCAATGGGTATTACATACACCTGAACCAATAACGGAAAGGCAGATGACCAGCTGTCAATAACAGATGACCAGGGGTCAATCCCAGCCACAAAGTAAACACACATACCTGCATAAGCAGAAGTCCTACGATGAAGCCACTGCCCTGGCAATACCCCACCTCACGGTCATGCAGCGAGTAAGCCTGGGGGGAGAGAGACAACATCAGATAAGATAGACAAATCATTATCGTCCAGACACTGTCGTATTGTTCCAACTCACACACATGCACACACACACAGGCACACACACACACACACACACACATACACACACACACAGACACACACACACACACACACACTTACACAGCATGTAGATAGCAGTGAATTGTCAATTTTAAAGTACACGAGCTTCCTCAAAAAAAGGAATTTTTTTTTAATGCAGGAGAGAAGCGTGGACATAACAAGTCAGTGAGACGTGGAGCTCAATTTTAAAATTATAATCAATAAAACAACTAATCTAAATCACTCAAGAAGCAGATTGCTTTGAACATGTACTGGGCCGAGAGAGAGAAAAACTTGATAAAATAACTTTTTCAAATGAGAACCGAACTCTCGTCCTCTGCTAGCATTATATGGAAAAGAAAAATCACCACACCAGAAGTTGTGGGAAAAAATTTCAACATTGCAACATGAATCCCCATTCAATTACTGAAAAAAAAGCTACCCCACAAAAGACAAAGCAAAGAGCAGATCATTTGGGACAGCTCTATGTGTCGGTCTACATAAAAAGCGATCTTACACTCTCTTGAGAAAACAGAGCACAAAGATAAATGTCAGCAGCTCTGTAATTGGGCTGAAGATACGGGGTGGAAGGTGGGGGTAATTTGGGGAGGGGGGGATGGGAGTGGAACATAGAAGACCCACAGCATGAAGCAGGAGGGGCAACTTCTCTTATACTATCATAACTAACATGAATATATTGACTATATAGAGTGTATGATTCCATCATACACTATTTTGAAAATCAGTCAAAATGTAAGCCCAGACCTCATGTCTGACATTTACACCCACAAATATTTTCTGTCTTCCCTTTTTTTTTCTTCTTCTTCTTCACCTCTGAGATCTAATGGGCAGCGAAGGAAAAAAGAAAAAAGAATGAGAGAACAGAGTTGTCTTTTCCTTCTCCTTTTTTCTACTCTACGAGACAAAAAAGAATATGTCTTTCTACACTGTTGCTCATCTTCCTTACACATAGCTCATTTTTCTTAACCTCCCTTGCAGGATATAACGCAACTGGGTTTTTTTCTACTCTCTCTGCCTCACATGACCCCAAAAAAAAAAGAATTTCCCTTTCCATTTTTTTTTTTTACTTCTCATCTTTACGACAAATTAGATTTGTCTTTTCTTATGCTCCCTGTATGACAAAATAAAGTTGTCTTTCCTGCTCTCTTTCTCTTCCTACATAAAAAAAAAATATTCCTTTGTCGTTTTTTTTCTTTTCTTTTTCTATTTGAGGTGTGCTTGTCGGATTTCAGCCCTGAGGACATAGATACATCAAATGTATAGGTTTGGTGCGTACACTTTGAAAGTACGAAATAATAAAGGACGTGTTAATGAGTGTAAACTTGAAATAAATGGCATCGGTTGAAAATCTACAAACGTGATCCTCCTGTTGATTTTCAGTAGATATCTCCATTAACAGATCGAGAGAAGTAATTCATTTTGTAAGCACCTTTAAATCAAAATTTCTACATACAACAAAATGAATCTTCTTTTCTTTCCTCCTTTCTCTCTCTCTCAGTCTCACCTTCATGACATTGAATAGGCTTTCCTGCCCAAACCCGTCTTTCTCCTTGAAGAAGTCGTGGTCCGGGAAGGTGCGCGCGATGTCGCGTCGTATCAGCTTTTCGCACGGTGACGTTTTCTTCATGTGTTCAGCGTACTCTTGTTTCCACACTGAGTCGTGCACACCCAGGATCAGCTGCCAGGCCATGCCTCGGAACTCGTGAGGAATACCCTTACGCACCAGCTCCTGTGCACGCAAACACACACACACAAACACATAAATAGAAATATCGATGAATACCAAATGAGAAATTTCAAATGATCCGGCCTATGAAATAATAATATATGGGAGGTATTTTCCACTTCTTATACAGTACAGGTGGTAATGATTGTAAATATTTCATGCCCTCATAGATGCAATTTAGGAGATGACCTGCCCATCAAGTCTAACCGAGGCAGGAGCAGGATACAGCATCCCTCTCATTCATGATCATGAAACCATTCTTCTCCTCTGTACATCATCCATTGTCCATAAAGACTTGTCCTTCCTCAACTCTGACTAAAACCTTTCCTGTGCCCGCCATTCGCCCCACCCCACCTCCAAAACACACTCTTTCTTTGCTCCCCCCCCCTCAACTCACCCTGCATTTAGACAATCAACTCTATCCCCCCACCTTACCTCCATGCTCATTCATTCCCTTCCTGCTCCCTCCCAAAACCAACACATATACTCACCCTTTCCTCCATCCCTCCCTCTCCCCTTCCACAAATGTACACAGAAGTCTACTTACCCTGAGGAAGGCAGGTTTCTTCCGGACAGGTTCCCAGTCGTTGATGATCCGGCCCCAGATCTCCCACAGAGTCTCGCTTGATGTACCTAACCACACAGATGGAAAAAAAAAAAAACTTTATTTATTATTACAATGTAACTTTGACCTTTCATAAGATCCAGTAGTAATAGTTACCATCAGGGAATCTCACAAAAACAAAACTTGCCAAGTGATCGCTGAATAGTGAAGAAACAGTGAAGGAACAATGTTTTCTCTGCTGCACAAAGAACCGTAATTCTTCCCAATTTACTTAACAAGTTTGAACATAGATAATCCCCCTTTTCCTTTTCTAACACACGAGTAGGTATGTACTCATAAGCAAAAACAACCCCTCCTATCCCACCCCCAACCCCCCAAAAAAACCCAACAAAAAACAACTTAAACCGCACTTTTTTTAAAGCTCAAAATTAGTCAGTGTAACAGCTGGTCAGCATAACCACAAAATCGTTGGTGTTGAGCATAGGGTAACTCTCTGAGATTTCTCTATGATAAAGTCTTCTATCCTCTGACACACAGCTAAATGCTCCACTTTCAAAATGTCCTCAGTTTTTTAAGTGATTGCACCAAAGGTTTTACACCTCCATCAACACTATTTAAATCATTTAGTTGGCAGGCTGCTCTGCTTTGACCCTTCCTGTCAGAGCTAACCCGAGCTGAGTGGTCTACAGCATCCTAACAGGTAGGGAGATTGGATACTCGATAAAATGGCTTCCTCATTCGAGAACTGAACTCATGTCTTTACTATGCAAAAGGAGAAGCGCCTAAACATTACATCACAGTCACTGATGTAAAATAGCTGGGCCTTGGGCCAATATAAGAGCAAAAAATACTTCAGGCCCTCCGTACACAGTTGTGTATCTCTCACACAAAAATCAGTCAATCACAACTTCTGAATACTCACACGGTTCGCAAAATGATTTCATTTACGCTTTATATCAGAATTAGGCTTCAAATATTCTTAAATCAAAGTCTGAATCATCTGTTATTATACAATATCACCGATAAGCAATTTCTTGAGATCACAAAAATGGGAGCAATGATTTTCTGCCGACAGCGACAAAATCTTTGAGAGAGATAATTCTTTTCAGATCTTTCAGGCAACAAAAGAGTCAACCTCTTCCTGGGAAACTGAGAAAATTTCGTAATGTTATAAGCTTTGTCAGACGTATAGATAGAGTTTTCTTTCCAGAAGGAACGCCACTTATGAAAATGCAATTCATCATTGTTACTGATATTATCATTACTTTCAATAATACTATCAAACTGTACTTAAGAAACAAAAAATAGAAGTTAATGGGGCGATGAGAATATCCATATCTGCCCTAGGGTAAAGGCTTCCAGTTCTGATTTACAAAAAAAAGCAACTTGTTGAAATGAAAGGGGGGGGGGGTGGTGAACAGTGGTGTGTGAATAAAAGGTAGAGGCAACAGTTGAGGTAAGGGGAGGTGGTGGAGGGGGGAAGGTGATGACGAATCACAGAACTGGTCAGCAACTAAAAAAAACAAAACTGTCCCTTATTTCTAGCCCTAAAGAGGTTATCTATGCTGATATACCACGGACAAACATTATTTCTAATAAGTTAAAAAACCACTACCACCTAGAGTATGGAAAGTTCATCTAGTTTATCAAAACACTGAGGCCATTGACAATATCGGCGAATGACCCACTTACTATCAATGATATTCCTTATGTGGTGTTCTTTTTAAAAAATTCTTTATATAAACAAGCACGTCATATTATGCGTGTGCTCATTGGGCGAGAGGAAAAGAAGCAAAGATATAGGGGGCTGGAGGGTGGGGGGATGAACCGGTCTAGTTCACGGTCTGAAGCTGTATTTACACATAGCGCACAAAGTATATATTATATATGGAGTACATATATGGTAAAATATGTATGTGTGTAAGAGCATATGCATACTGATATGATATAGCATTTATCATTCTATATATTTAAATATATTTAAGCATAATATATACTGCATGGTATGAGTACTCAGAGATGTTTTATCATTGCCGTTAGCACTAACCATTCCACCAATTTTTTTAAAAATTAGAAAAAAACAAACAAAAAAACAAAACAAATAAAAGTCAAACAGAAAAAACCCACAGCCTCATTCCCCTCATATCCAATCTTCCACACCCCCAAAATGCAAACAAACGTTGTAAGCATGAATGGAAAAAACACAAAGTAGTTTAAAAAATGATTCATTCCATCTGTGGGGGGGGGGGGGGGTGTATGATATTTGGTCCGCAGTGCTCAAAAAACCTGGGAAGACACACTTATGGGCATGTGTAAAGTTTGATCTGGTTATCATCATGCCGTGTCACTTCATCACACACACAAGACCAACAGACTCTATCCAAGCTATAACCATGCAGTGTCAGATCATCACCTACAATATGCAGGTTCTTCCTATAATGTGTTGTAGCACAATTTCTGGAAGTCATTGGGTTGTGAGGAAAGACACCAGGACACTACATACACAGACAGGGACATTTAACTAGGGACCATTTAACTATGTATTGATCATCAAATAAATCGTTGGTCCTTTCAAGAGACAGAAACATCATGAGCCCAGTACAAGCAGTTGGCATTGCTTGTTTCTTCATGACGTAAAAAATAAAGATAAGACAAAAATAAATACATCCCCTACCAAGTACACCCTCTAGTATGTAGTGATTAATTGAGCAAATGAGAAATTTGAGAGAGAAAAAACAAAAACAAACATAATCAAAAGTTGCATAACAAGTGCATTGCTGCCAACTTTTCAAAACCAAACTGCAGACTATCCAGGTGGCAAGTCAAGATGGTGGGCACAGGACAAGTAATCCCCTTCTATCATGCACTTATCAGCATTCAATTAGTTCAATTTTTAATTTCAACAACAATGTCAGAAATGTTTAGTAAAGATCTCTTCAACAGAGTTAACGTGCCCCGTTCTCGTTATCATTAGCACATTTGTTTTTGAAAGTCACAATTTTCCTTCAGAGCCGGCAAATCTGTGAGGAGCAAGAAATAGAAAACAGAACACATATTTTCTGACCCAAAAACGAACTTCCGTACTTAGACTCTCAAAAGTGTATTAAATAATTCTTTACCCAGTAGCTGGCAGCTATGCATGTGTTAAAGATGACATAAAGCAGTTGGTCAAGGCTAAGAAAAAAATCCAGAGGAGACTTAGCGATAAATGTAGAACTGTAATTATGGAGGAAATCCAAACTAAAACTAGCTGACCGCAAGATTAAGAAAAGAAGATGGCAGTGGAAGAGGCACACTCTTTGGAAGCCAGCCCACAACGTGACAAGACAAAGAGAGAGAGGGGGAATCGAATGACTAATTTCTAAAATATATAAACATTTGTCACACGGAGCTAAAAAACCTGTGAAAGAGAAATAAAGGAGGGACGGAAAAAGCACATTTCTGTTTTATATACATGACATTGTATTTGTTTGATTAAAGCAGTGGGTGTTGGGTTGAGAAATAAAGGATGGGATGGCGGCACAAGTCGCACCAAGGGGAAAAGCGGAAGAACTCTATAACATACAGCTATAGCTTGTGATGTAATAGTTCTTGCAAAGATCGTAGACGTTTTAGTTTTACACTCCCATCTCAACAATTTAGATCATTCGGGAGGCGGGCTGCTTCCTACTGCTAGGCAGGATCAACTCGGGCTGGGTGTGGTGATATAGCATCCAAGTAGACAGACAAATTTGTACTTTATATAATACATTTTCTAATGCTGGAATCGAACCCACAGCTCTCCACTGGGGAACAATAATACTGTGTCTCAAGTTTCAAATGAACAAAAACATTTATTGCTCTCTGGTATATAAGTCTAATTAACTCATAGTCAACCTTGGTGGTATTGACATATCTTTGTTCATGAGCACATAAAATTTGTTTATTTAAGTGCCTTTTCAGATTACAAGGAAATATCAAATTTGTGAAATTCTTTCTCACAAACTTGACAGAAGTAAAAACAAAAAAATATATATATCTCTTTGCAACGCAGGGCACACATTGAATACATTAAGTGCTTTCTCATTTTTTTTCAATTGTTCTTTTTTACTCCTTTGCTCATTCTAAAATGTCTGGCACCATCCAATGTAAAATGCAACAGAGATTTTAAAAAACAAAAACATTTCCAATAATTTCTATTACGTTTACAAAATTGCCTTAAATTTTGTGATTAATTTTTAAAATTGCAACTAATTTTCTTTTCTTCGCAGAAATACTAAACATCATTTTTGCACCAGAGCCTAGAACTACCGAAGAATTCATTAAAATTATGGTGCGAAAGTTACCCAATATAGATATTGCAGAAGTATCAGCAGTAACAACGGTATGTAGCAGTTGAGGAGATAGGGTGGGGGGGGGGGAGTCAAGGATGAGGAGAGGGGATACTGTGTCAGGAGCTCATAATACTGCAGTGTACAGTTCTGAGAGCAGCGCTATCATCTTAAGTAAATAAACCACCGCCCCACCGCGCCCCCCCCCCTCTCAAAATTAAACAAAAGAAAGACACAACCTATATCATTTACATACACTCACAGCGCACATGAAAAAAAAAAATTACACCTTGAAAAGTGACTATCACAAACACCATATATCTTGACAAATGTCCACACAGCATACAAAGCAAAAATAATACTCTGAAAAGTAAACACCGCACACCACATACATCGCATTTTTTGTCAGGAACTCTTTTTCATACTCTTTGCATAGGGTAAATAATAATTTATATGGATCATCCACCAGAACACAGCATTGTAAATATATGACCAGGGCGAGACAAAGACATAAAAACCCCCAAAAAGAAGCAACTTCAAAAGTTAAAGTTTCAACTTAACGATTCGTGAGGGGGAGAAAAATAAATCCAAATGGTAAAGAACAGAATAATCAAATCTTGCAGTGGGGAAAAACAAAAATGCTAAAATATAATAAATAATAATAATAATAATAATAATAATAATAATAACAATAATAATAAGCAACAAAAACATTCAACCGCTATACGAACAAACCATAGACCTGATATTGGTCGGTGACAACTACTACAGGCCGTGGTGCAGTTTGTTGGAAGAAGCCATAACGGAGGCAGGGTGGGAGCTAAGCACATCCCTGGCAGGCAAAACAAGTAAAGGGTGGTGGTGGGGGGGGGAGGGTCCAGTGAAGGGGGAGGGGGAATAATCCAAACTAGTAGGGTGGTCGCTTCTGAACTAGGGCTTGGCGGAGTAACAGTTCTTACCACAGTGGAGGGAATTCATGGGAACGAACAGTCTCAGAAGTCTAGAGAGTTCTTTCATGTTTTGGGTTCATAATTTACACAAAAAAACTGGATCGATAACAACAATTTACAAAAACCACAGCTCGAATCTGTCCAAAGCTCTTAGGCTTAAGTCAATGAGGTTGCTGTTAGTCTAAACACACACCTCTTACACTTCGCTGTAACACTTTTGTGACATGTGAAATTGGTTTTGACTGTGGTATTTCACTCTGTACAGCGGTTTGTAAGAAGGAAATAAACTCTCAACCTTTTCACATTAACGGCCACCCTGTCATTAAACAAAGCAAAAAAAAAGGTTTTTTTCATGAGAAAGCCTATTTAATTCAGCCTTATAAAGTACTGTAACCATAGTTCATAAGTTATGTGTGTAGACTGAAAAAAAAAAGGGAAATAGAAATTCTGAGATCTTGATCGTGGTTTAATTAAAAACACAAACGTGTTAAAAATCTTGTAAAAACCAACACATGATGCTAATAAGTATATAAGCATAACACACATAATTAGGACTTTGTTACAGAATAAGTTCAGCCCCCCTCAAAAAAGCAAATGTTAAAAAACTAAAAAAATAAACCCAATACAATTACAATTAAAACTTGTCATCTGAAAACATGCATGGACAGTGGTCAGTTTTGTCAAGAGAAACCAGAATGGGAAGGAAACTGTGGTCAGAACTGAGACTCGCAGCTATTTGAAGCTTTTTTTTTTTTTTTTTTACCCAAGATAGTCCTGACAGGGTCGGCCGTTTGCTCAGAGCCCTCGTGACCTTGACCCTCGGTGCCAGCCGGGGACATGAGGGATGGGCTATTTTTGGTGACAGGGGAGCTGGGCATAGAGGAAGAGGCGGGGGACTCGCAGCCGTTTAAGATCAAATCTGGCACCGAGTTCCGCTTCAAGGTTAAGATCCTCTTGCGGTTTTTGCCAAGGGCTCGCAAGAACGCTTTCTTCTGCTTGACGGTCGGTTCAGGCGTTGACGTCGGAGGGGCAGCAGCAGGCACGGGAGTCTGGTTCGGATCTACTGTGAAAGTCATAGGAAGTGGGAGGAGGTGGAGGTGGTGGTGGTGGAGGTTGTGGTACACACATGAAGTTTCGAGCTGAAACACCGCGACACCAAGTGCGAGCATTGCTACCAACTACAACAGCATTAGTAAAAAAAAAATTTTTTTTTTTAATTTAAAAAAGTATTTGTGAAATGAACCGGAGCCCCCCTCATGATAGAGTATATAATACGTCGGAAATGAGCAAAGTACAAGGAAAGCACCAGCATCAGGAGCACAAGAAAAATGATAAAATTATTGATATGGGCCATAAAGATTAAGAAAAACTGAAGGTGCTCGTAAGGAAGGTGGGTATTCATCTTAAAATTCAAAATGCTGTGCTTGCATTTTGTACAAGATATAATTAGAAGCCTGACTCATACCTAAGTAAGACACTTCAATAGATTGGTGTAAATTCAACCCCCCCCCCCTAAAATTTTCATTTGCCTCAGCAACCATTAAGAATAATATTTATTCTTTAAAAAGTCGGAATTTTTGGGACATGTCCTTGTAATTTTGGCACCAGCTGGGGAACCACTCTGAAGTGATTTACCGGCAGCATAATTTCCTGTTCATTCAGTACGAGTTAAAGCTGAATTCTACAATGTTATTTTCAGCAATATGTCAGCGATAATGAAAAGCCCAGGACAGCACGGTAGCAATAGCAGGAAAAACTATGCCACACCTTGAGACAACTAATTTAGCAAAAGAAGGAAGCTCTTCCAAGGCGAGAGACAAGAGTAAAGACATTTTTTTGGTTTTTTTGTTTTTTGTAAAGTGTTTTACGGCGCTCGCAACTGCATAAGGTCATATGAGACGCGGGACACACCTAATATTTTCAGTTGGTAGGAAATTTGGAATTTTGCACGGGTGGTGGCCGAAGCCTACTCTTATCGATTTTAGACCACCAAGGCATCTTTAACGAGCGCAACTTGCACACGGGCCCTCCGAGATTTTTCGTCCTTCTCTGAGAAGGCTAGGTGTAGATCTTTCCTACCAGAAGATCAGGGGTGTGGCTGAAAGACAGCAGTAAGAAGAAGCGAAGGAGTAGCAGTAGAAAGACTGCAGAAAGAATCAGGAGCCCAGAGGAAGGGGCAAAGGAGATGAGGGGGTGGGGGCAGAATGAGGAGACGAAAACAGATGACAGAACATTGCTAGAGAGCAGGAAATGAGGTGAAAGGAGACAAATTTAGAGAAGAAAATTTTGAATGAGAGGCCAACACCTTAACCTCTAGGCCACGAGAGCCCCCGAGTAAAGACAGAGTAATGAGAAAACTGGCAATCTGAGTACAGAAACATCCTGACGAAACACTTGTTATCTAAAATCTCTGAAAGATAAAGCAGTTGTTGTTTATGATTATGTGTATTATACATATATACATATATATATGTATATGCATATACAACACTCAGTTTGTTATCAAACCTTTCAAAGGTTTTTCAACTACAGCATTAGCACACAACAGTAAGGAATGAGTACTCCTCAATGCGCTATAATATCAGCCAAAGTCAGACTGCCCTACTGTAATGTTCTTTATGAGGAGACATAAAACAGTGTCAAAATGCCAGGAAATTTTCCAGTTCTAAAATAAGAAATCAATATGGCCTAACTAAGGGAAGGAAACAATTGAAAAGCTAAAAATAATTCCTTAACTCGAATTTTTTAAATGACAAAAGACAGAGGCCATTATTGCAACGAATTGACAGATTGAAAACAAAAACAGTCACAAGCTCACATGTATTTCCAAACATCAAATGCAAGACAGCTCAGGAACAAAGTGGCAACAACCCTATAATTACGACAAAGACATTCCCTTACAAGCAGAGATCTAGAACAAACAATTCTTAGACAGAATCATGAGTATAAATATTCTAGACTCTAACAGTGTGACATCAAACATTAACCAAACTGACATTGACTCGACCTATTCTTTCCAGGTGTATTTTAAACAACTAACTGAAAACAAAAAATGTTTAAACTTTAGATGCAGCCACATAAAATTACAGTTCTGAAAGAGTAACAGATAGAATGGTCTGGCATTTGAGAGGAGAGGGTGCAAATGGGACCTGAATTTGTCAGAAACGAAACAATTAAATGTAGAGTTAGTTGTTAGTACAGTGATACTGATGCTTACACTTACATTGTGTGTTAGTTTTGTACAGAGATATGGAGGCTTATATTGTCAGTCCTTTATTAGTCACAGACGCCAGCACACAGAATCAAAGTAATTGTTTGCTCAATGATAACACAACATTAACTTATAACACACTTCTACAAAAATTGGCCCTCCTTTTGTTTGGGGAAAAGACATACAACACACATGCTCGCAGGAAAAAACAATGAGTCTGAGAAAAAATACTGTCCAACTTCTGACCACCGGATGATTTGATCGAATGGCTCAACAAATGGAGAAAAAAAAATACCTTAACAAAAGACAAGCAGCAGAATCAACAGAGAATGGACATGTCCTTGACAGACACACAAGTCCAGGCATCACGTCTTCCGTCCTGGACAGAGCACTCACCATTGGGGTCCTCACACTCATTTGAGTTCTGCGCGCTGTAGAAGCTGTTGGACGACGTGCTTGATACAATGCTCGAACCCGAGCCCTTCCGTGAGTGGCCCGGTGTCGCCGAGAAGGCGGCCAAAGTTGGGTATGACTTCTCATCTGCCTCCAGCATTCTGAGAGAATCAAGTTTTAGTTTTGGTAAGAGGTTTGTTTTTTTTTGTGGGTTTTTTTTTTGGGGGGGGGGGGGTAGTGTTTTACGGCGTTCGCAACTGCATAAGGTCATATGAACGCGTGAGATACATTAAATATTTTCAGTTGGTAAGAAATTTTGAATTTTGCCCGGGTGGCGGCCAAAGCCTACTAAGAGTTTTAAAGCACTTGCAATACAAATAGGTCATATAATAGCCAAAAATTAGAGATGTTACCAGAGAGCAACATACCGAGAAAAGAAGAAAGAGTAAAAAGTACGATAGATATTTGATAGGAAAGAAGAAGCAAACCACACCAAAGTATCCTGCAACCACCCATGATTCTTAGAGATAGTTTGTTGGTTGTTTGTTTGTGTTTGAGTACACAGAAGCACATCAACACAATAGCGATCATTCATTACAGATTGACAAAACAAGTCGTCAATTTTAGAAAAAGCAACACAAAACTGATGTCCTGTAAGAGTTAAAGGCAGCATGGTTTGTCCTCCGAGCTGGGGATGAACCTGGGACATGAGATTTTTACAAGCTCATAGTACTGCAGTCAGTCTGGAGAGTAGTTTTTGCAAAAGCCACGTCTGCCGTCCTGTTGATCTGGCCTTAGAAGGGGGGAGAGATAGAGAGAGAGAGAGAGAGGGAGAGATAGAGAGAGAGAGCGAGAGAAAGAGAAAGAGGGAGAAGGGGGAGAGAAAGAGAGAGAAATAGAGAGAGAGGGAGGGGGAGAGAGAAAGAAGAGTCCCAAAAGTGAAACTTGATATTCTAAGGCCAGATCAACAGGACCGCAGACGTGGCTTTTACAAATACTCTCCAGACTGACTGCAGTACTATGAACTTTCAAGTCAGAGCCTTTTGGACACACGTCCACTTGCTGACAGTACCCATCAGTCGATGTTGGAGGATACGAGAACATCTGGGTGTGGAAGCTAGCGGATAGTGGGAGAGACTGATCCAACTCACATCCACATGAATCCACACCATCCTGGCCTCCCATCCACCAACCACTACATCCACCTCCATTCGACCCTTACATATCGTGTTCCACTCACCGATTTGCCTCCTCTAGTTGTCGAAGCAACTCCTCCTCTGTGGGTTTCCGTGAGTCTTCCTCTGGCTCTGAGCTTGTCTTGCTCACTCCATCACCTGGCAGAGCGAGCGAGTTTAAAAATTAATTCTTTGTTAGTAAAGAAAGGCATATCGACACAGTAACGAAGATCATTTAGAGCTGGGGAAGAAAATAACTTAAACATATAAAATTGTGCCGAATATAAAACTCAGTGGACAGAAAATAAGTAAAACTTGCCAGTAGCACACTCCAACCACATGGGAAGGTAAGTCACAATATGAATAGAAATTAATATGTACAAAAACCTACCTAAAGATGACAGCAGTAAGAAGAAGCTAGAAAAAAAAGAGAAGAAAAAGTCTGGAGAAGGAGAGAGGAGCCCAGAGAAGGCTGGGGTGAGGGGGTGGGGGGTGGATGGAGATGAAAGCAGATGACAGTATACGACTAGAGAACAGGAAAGGAAGTGAAAGGAGAGAATTTTAAAAGAGAACATTTCAGAGAAGAATATGTTCTTAGCACTATCACGTTTCCATCCCAGGACCTTTTAAACAAGAGGCAAACACCGTACCTCTAGACCAAGAGAGCCCCAAATTTTTGGAGTTACTCTTGAGTAACACACAAAGAAAAGAACAGGGAGAGGTATTGTTTGTTTTAGTAGAGGTTTTACGGCGCTCGCAACTGCATGATCATATGAGTGCCAGAAGATTAGAGGTGTTACAAGAGGGTAACAAACACAAAAAAGAAGAAGGGGAGATAAGGACGACAGATATTTGATAGGAAAGAAGAAGCAAACCACACCAGAGCACCCACCAACCACCCACAGGGAGAGGTATGAATGATAGATGTTTCCTAGTTAAGAAGAGCCTACCACACAGGAACATCCGCCTATCACTAATGCACAAAGAGTCAATATTATGATAATGTTTATAGTTTACCAGAGAACAGAGAAAAGAAGAGCAGCATATGACATTTATGAGACCACCAACCACCCAACATTACTCATGTACCAACAACATCCATAAGGAGGGACCATGCCCACAGGACACCCACAGCACACCCACACAACACCCACCATCCCCATTAATCGTGTGGGTCGAGCCTCCATTCTCCCAGCTACCATCCATCTTGTCCTCTCCCTCACTCGACTGGCTCGTCAAATCGGGGGTCACTGAGAAGAGTGTACGAGAAAAACAAAATGAGAATGAGTGACGATTTTAAGTTTTCACAGTTATCGTTCTTTGTACTAAGATTTATGCAAAGAGCCTAGAACTGATGCACATGCACACTGGAGTGGGCGCTACAAAGATTATCTACACCATCATGATTACTATTACTATTATTATTATTATCATTATTATTGTTATTATTATTATCAATACCATTATTATTATCATCATCATCATCATCATCATCATCATCATCATCATA